ATAAGTGAAAATGCCGTATAAGACACTTACATGATAATTGATATTCTTGAATGACAGGTTAATTGTTGAAGAAGAAGAGATACTTATGATCAAAATAAAGCCCGGATGGAAAAAAGGGACGAAGATCACATTTGAAGGGAAGGGAGACGAGAGACCAGGTACACTACCAGCTGATATAATATTTTCCATTGACGAGAAACGGCACCCGTTGTTCAAACGAGAAGGGGACGATTTAGAGCTGGGAGTTGAGGTACCTCTGGTCCAAGCTCTCACAGGATGCACAGTACCTGTGCCACTATTAGGAGGAGGGCAAATAACACTGTCGATAGAGGATATTATATATCCAGGGTACGAGAAGATCATACCTGGACAAGGTATGCCCGTTTCGAAAGAAGGCAAGAGAGGAGACCTTAGACTCAAGTTCCTGGTCGAGTTTCCTGCTGAGTTGAGCGACGAACAACGCTCTGAAGTAGTTAGCATTTTAGAAGGATGTTCTTGAAGATTTCGGGTTTTTGCAGTTTTCTTCTGTTTTCTCCTTTTTTTTGTCAGACTTGTTGCATTGAAAGGGAGAAATTCGGACTGGGCGGCAGACCATGTAGATGATGATGCCTTTTTAGTTTTAGGTGAGTAGACTTTGTATACTGGTGTATATACATGCGTCTCTTGTTGAAGAAAAATGTAAAACTTGCTTCTAAATTCATCAAAGATGGACAATTTGCTATACAACAAAACGATAGTTCCACAAGACTAATACATATAGTGCCTTATAGTTACGTACAATTCAAAAGACCAATGAACATCTTGAAGAATCCACAAAATAGCATTGAACCTTTAACTATTACTATTATTGCTTGATTTCAGACCAAGTCTCATTTTCTCTTTGGCCAACTCAAATTAGGATTAAGCTCTTCATCTTTCCTGCTGAATTAACCCTCAAAAGAGGCCATTTTAATTTTTACACATTTAAAACTAGCTATATCCTGTTTACACACAAGATGACAGTATGCCGTACCTGAAGAGAGAAAATAGGAATAAGATACACCAATCACTTGAGGACCGTTGAATAATTTAATAAGGAAGCTGACAGCACTACTAAGCTAATCCTTTGATGGTGGGCGTTGATCCCTAAGAAACGGAAGTTCCACCAGTGTCCCAACTACGTTGTCACCAACAGTTACAGAGTCTCCCTCTGAAGCTGCCCTCCTCTTTATATATCCTAATCCAAAAGGCCCTGACGTTTTCGTACCAGCTGTAAAGCTTGTCAATTTTCCTACCTGCAAGATGATAGGTATTACATCATAAGTTTTGATAAACTGCATACAAAATTACGAAGAAAAAAAATCTATATATTTTTAGTCGTCCTTGGTCTCTGCCTATATACATGTGGGAGTACATGCATCCACGAGTACAGTAGCATTTTTTTCTTCTTCTTTCTTGTTATTCATATTTTTAGGTGGTTATTAAAAAAAGACTTTCATGATAATGAGTATGTTGTAGATCACCTTCTTCCCATCAACTGTAACGATGGTGCTTGGTTCCACTGGAGATGATAAACGAATCCCCCATAATGTTTGCTTGATTCCATCATAAGTTACAAGCCTTGCGATGGTCTCCTGTCCTTTATAACAGCCTGTCAAAGAATTCAGCCTCAGACCACCACCCTACCCTTTCCCCTACAAAGAAATGTTTATGTAATAATGCTACCTTTATTCAAAGAAAGAGCCCTCCAGAGACCGGCCTCTAAAACATTAAACTCGTCTGTGAGTTCTTTGCCAGGAGCCGGTCTTCCTGCAGATTTCAAACATGTTATGACCCAAAGATAGAGACACAACAAGAGAATACATACTGTCTCACTCCCAAGCATTCAAATGATAACGCTTACTTACGAAAAAGTTGCTTTAAATCAACCCATTGCAGAAAATTAACATGTAAATATGCCAAAACGCATAGTATGACCAAAAGAAGAACAATCATGATACAGTAACCGACCTCGAAGAATCCTCAATGTCTCCCAAGCACTAGAGCCCATAGGGATGGCACCCTGGGCTAGAAGAGCCTTCCAGACTGATCTAGCTGCTGTTGGAGACATCATAAATGTGAAACCTTCAACCGAGATGATACTTCCTACTGCCACTGTCAATGGCATACCACCAACCTGCATAAGGAAAGATCACATAAATTATGCTAGTTAAACGGCGTAAATAATAGCTCTTTAATAAAGTTAATTACTACATCAACTAGCATCTATCATCTATCATGGCCTTGTAAGCATTAAACACAAAAGGCATCCACTTATATTTAAACACAAACCTAGCAAGCAACAAAACTACCTCATTAGTTTCTATTTGTCAGAAAGCAAAATGAATATGATAATTCTTCAGTAACTCACAGCATCAAAACTTACGCTGTAATGTTTATGAGAGCCATATGGTTGTCCAACAAGATCTCCTAGATTCAAGTCCTCCATTATCTGTCCCCATAATCACATTTCACACAAAGAAGAGATGTGAGGTCAGAGACAATAAATATGGAAGGCACGAACTCATCTATCCAAAAGTTTAAAACACATACTTTGCTGCTTTTAGGTCCCGATAATGCAAATATGCTCGTCTGGTTAGTGATATCCTGAATTTCCACCTTGTCAGAAAAAAATATGTACCTACGAAGAAAAGATGTTTGAATAATTAAGACTCGAATTTATGTGCAGTTGTTGAATGTTGATAGAATAGCTATGATTTGATAGATATACTTCACAAGTGAATCATAGTCTTTATATATATGAGCTGGGAACATAAGTGATCCCATTTTCAATATTCGTGACTCATGGGTTAACTTGAGTGGTGTCGCATGACACAACAATTAAGTGTTCATTCGACCACATATTATGTATTACTTTCAGTTAAGAATACTTCCGAGAAATTTGATAAATAAGATATATCAATATCTAAAATTGATATTGAGCTGCTACTCCACAGAAAAAGGGGGTTGTCCTAGCAGAAGCAATAGCAAAACTAAAGAGGAAAGTAGACAAATGAACTATATTAGATAAACCAACAAGGAGAAGTTAGCAGTATAGAAGGGCGTGCGTGAACAAAAGCTGGTATTGGTGGGCAGTGGGCACTAAAGCGAAAAGGACGAAAATCATCAATAAAACCGGTTGAAAATTAAGCGCAACATGGGGACAAATGCAAACTATAAGAAAACATCTGAAAGCGTACTTGTTCAGCATTTTAGTTATGCTTCCACAAGTCATCGGTGAGACCAACAGCACTACTGCATTTTTCTGTTGATGTAACATGCACATAAAAGATAGTGAGTAAATGGTGCAAGAGTTCGTACAAGATATTGGAAGTTTAAACTGTTTTTGTTAGTAATTTTAAATTGTGATTACCATGACCCATGCGTGAGAAATATCAATTGTCCGAGCGGTTGGTGTCACAAAAACTGTATCGCATCCCTACACGTTTCATTCAATGGTCAAGATAATCCTGAAGTTAACCTACCTCAGCTAGAGATTAAAAAACAAAAAAAATGTGGAAAGTGACTATGGACTACCTGGCCTTCACCGAGACTTTCGAAGTTTGCAGTAGTTTGATTGTGAAGAAATTGAATTCGATCTTCCCCACTGACTTTATCATAATATACATTCATGAAAAGAGAAAAATGAGTAGCATATTAAAGATAGATGCATCACAGAAGCAAATACCTCTTATTCGGCCATAATCGGAAAGATCCACAACCTAAACAAGCATTTTAAGACATTAATCAGCAAAGTTTAAAAGAATGTGGCAGAAATTACTAAGTAGCAACTAAGCTTTAGCATAAATACATCAAGTGCAATTTGTCACGCATGTGTTCTGGTTTCTTTCCCACTGCGGCATATTTATACGACATTTTTAACAGGTTGTATTAGATCTATCATTATCTTTATTCCTTCCAGAGGTTAATTGGAACGCAAAAGTTCTTCATGGAGAATAAGAGAAGTAAATGAACACAATCTTCGTGAAAAGATGATACTGACAATACTTAGTATTTCAGTTATTACAAAGACCAGCAATAATAAGATTCCAAATCTATGTAACTACACACCACAACACCATTGTCAGCTGCATCCAATGCCTCGTCGTCATTTCCATATGTGATCGCTGTCCCATCTTCAGACACTTCTGGTTCAGCAGTAGTTGTTGTCTCCTGAAAGTGATCGAAACAATTCCCCAAACAATTTCTTAAAATGAGAACCATAAAAGAAAACTGGGAAATAAAAAAATGCAGGAAAACGAACATACGTTGGTCGAACATTTGCTGAATAAGAAACACGACAATGGAAGCTCAAATAACTAACATGTCATTTATACGGGCTGAATCTAAACTATTTATCCCCTTTAGATACTCGCACAAACGATCGACAAGTATTTATGTATCCATTTCGGTGTGCATTAAATAGATTTATCGGAATCAGTTGCTTGCCGATGTCGACAAATTGCTTGACCAACCACATTAGACGGCTACTAATTTTTATTTAACAATAACCGATTACTAGAATCAAACCCCAAACTTCAATTTATTGGATACAAGATTACTCAATTGGAGATTTGGAGTAAATTACGAGTTCAGCAGAAACAATCTGATTCAACAAGTTCATTATGCAGACAATCAATTGTCGATTTCTATTAATCAGCCCACAACCGTTACAGTATTTCATCATAGCTCGAATCAAATTGGAAACTAATAATTAATTTCAAATAGAAACCGCAGCTTAGCTCAGAAAAAAAAATTTCAAATAAACACTGAATTCAGTGTCAATCTAGATAGTGAATGTATGTGCATAAGTATGTGCGTAAGTGTGCGTAAGTGTGTGTGTGTGTGTGTGTGTGTGTGTGTGTGTGTGTGTGTGTGTGTGTGTGTGTGTGTGTGTGTGTGTGTTGGGGAGGGGGGGTGAGGGTTGGGGGAAGCTTACAAGGGGGTCGAAATCGAGGTCAATGGGAGGAGGGGAGAGGTCGAAAGGCAACGCGAAAGATAGAGAGAATTGATTGTGGTTCTTCTTCTGATGGCGCCAAATAGCATTTTTTCGGAGACTCTGAAACGGCGGCGCGTTGGGTGCACGCCGGCGGAGAGAGCAAGTACAAGAAATGGCAGCAGAGAGGGAATACATTTTTTTTTTGTCCGTTCCCGACTAACGGATTGTGGAAGTTGGAAATCAGAATATATTTGATTTGTATTTTGGATTACGGAGCCTAATTCATTGCCAAAACCTGTGTGGCCGAAATATTACCGAAATGCCCTTTGGGTTAATTTATTTTTATTTTATTTTTGAGCAAATGGCAAAAAGGTCCATCACATGGGACTTAAATACATTTTGGTCCACAAAAAAAACAGTCTATCAATTAAGTCCATCCCCATGTCTTTAGTCTAAAATACCCTCAATAATATAATTCTTATCAATTCCACCCATTATGCTCTAACTTCCTTAATATTACACATTGACCCCGGATTTAAACAAATATATCACATTAACCCCCCAAAACTTTTTTTTTTTTTCAGAAAATAATTTTTTTCTGAAATGTTTTTTTTCCGGCCATCCGGCGGTGACTTTTTTTTTTTAATTTTTTTTTTCCTGAAATTTTTTTCCGGCCGGTCAACCACCGTTGACCGCCGGTCTCCGGCGTTGACTTTTTTTCTTTTAATTGGTTTTTTTAGAAAAAAAAAATATTTTAATTAATATTACTGTCTTGGCTACTAAATTACTGTCTCAGACAGTAATATTACTGTTTGGGACAGTAATATTATGAATATTATTTTTCCGAACAGTAATATTATTAATATTATTGTCTAAGACAGTTAAATTACTGTTGGAGACAGTAATTTAACATCCAAGGCAGTAATATTAATTAAAATAATTTTTTTAAGGAAAAAAAAAAGTCAATTAACAGTTAAATTACTGTCTCCGACAGTTAAATAACTGCCGGAGACAGTAATTTAGCACCGAATACAGTAATATTAATAAAAAATATTTTTTTTAGGAATAAAAAAGTCAATCAATAGTTAAATTACTGTCTCCGCCAATTAAATAACTTCTGGAGACAGTAATTTAGCAACGAATACAGTAATATTAATTAAAATATTTTTGAAGAAAAAAAAAACAACAGATTCAATTAACAGTTAAAGTACTGTCTCCGACAGTTAAATAACTGCCGCAGACAGTAATTTAGCAGCCAAGACAGTAATACTAATTAAAATATTTTTTTTTAAGAAAAAACAAAATTATAAAAAAAAAAAATTCAAAAAAAAAAGTCAACGCCGGTCAACGGCGGCGACCGGCGGTCTTCGGTGGTGGCGGGTCAAAGTTGGGGTCAAAATTGAAATTATGGTTAAAATTGGTTAATTGATGAAATTGGGCTAAATTGGGGTGTAAATCATGAAATTGGAGTTAAATTGGGTTTCAATGAATTGGGGGTAATTTTGATATATGTAAAAGGGTTTTCCTTATTTGCAAATAAGTTTGAATGGGCTGGATTTATTTGAAAGACAAAAAAGTTGGATGTCCCTCTTTTAATTAAGTGCCCTTGTCATGGGCCTATTTGCCATTACGCCTTTATTTTTATGGGTAAATTACAAGAAGGTCAAATTAAGTAAAAACCCCTTTTGCTTGGGTAATTACAGTCACCCTTCAACTATGAATCTTCTTACATGTTCACCATTATGGTGTCAAATTCAACATAATCTTCTAGATTCCGTGGAATGTTCTCTAGATTGTACCTGTTTTGTACAAAATGGCAGTTTCTGATGTACCAAAATCTGATATATATACAAGTCAAAAAACACATTTTATGATCATCTTGCTTCAAATGTGGAGCTCGAATGGAATAAATGGGTACAAACTTGAGAATATTCCATATAATCTAGAAGATTTCACTAAATTTGACACAACAAGGGTGGACGTGAAAGAAGATTCACAGTTGAGGGGATGATTGTAATTACCCAAATAGGAGGGGGTTTCGTAATTTGATTTTACCTTGAGGAGGTGACTGTAATTTACCCTAATATTTTTAGGGGTTTTAGCTCGTAAATCAT